TATCCATAGATCTCTTCATTTTGCTCACAAAGTGCACCAGATTGATGCTTTTAACTTCAATATTTAAAAAAAATCTTCCCGGGGGAGCATGTCTAAATACATTGGCACACATCTTGTGTCCATATATTTCTGCCACAACGTGCGAGTCATGGTAAGATATCTGGATTAAGAGGTTGCTTTTTCTTTGCACAGAATGAAAGAAAGAAAGGCCAAATGAATGGGCTGTGATTTTAGTTTTTTTAAGCAGAGGTTGAGTTCAATCATTTGTACGGCCCTCGGAGGATGTTGTAAAAATTGAAAGGAAAAAGGTTCTCCACCCCTGCTGTAAATAATAATAAAAACCCTTGATTTATAACTTTACATCTCTGTCTCCTATTGATCTGAGTATATTATAAAGAATAGCCAGTTAATTGAAGCATTATTATTATTATTATTATTATTATTATTATTATTATATCAGATGGTATATTATGCTGTTTTTTTTCTGCTTCGAATAGTTCTCTCTTTTTTCACCATACGTGTGTTTGCATCACTGTTTAAAGTAATGACCGGGCAATCATAACCCAACCACTGACTGACAAGGCGGGACCTGAATGGCTAAAATGCTACTATTTCCAGGTTAAGACTCATTCCTGCATCTATACAGCCATGGTATGCGTCTGTTAATAGTTTGTTTTTGGATTGCATTCAAAGTGATAGAAATTACAAAACAAGCCTCGTCCATTTTTTTTTTTTCCCGCTGGACGCGCAGAGTTTTCGAAAGCCCTGGGGATCTGCAAACTTTGTGTTGCTTACGTTACACAATTCCACCAGCCCATTGCAACTGAGTTTTTTTCCTTCTGAAACTGCTAGCTGGATGAGCTGTCTGAAGAGCTGCAGAGTGTGCGTGCTGAGAAAGAGACTCTCCTGTCTGAGCAGAGTGGTGCTGCTCAGAGTTCTGCAGAGGAGATGGAGAAGCTTCTCTCTGCAGTCACATTTCTCACTGCAGAGAGAGACCAGCTCCAGGGAGACCTTCAGGAAAATGTAGACATGGTGAGTGACTACATTGCTGTTTGATAATAGTCTGTTTCTTTGGTGTTTGCTTGGTGTGTAGGGGCCTTTACTTGTATATATTGGAAAATGTGCACAATTACCACAAGTTGCCTTAATTATCATGAATTACCATTATGGCTTGAGCGATTTGGACAGTTTTGGACTGGCTTTGGGGGTTATTGAGGATGTCTAATCCATTTCTGACATTTTCAGGGACCAAATGGCAGTTTTAACCAGAAAGAAGCCATGTTGTTGCTTCTGGTGGGCTGATTTTGATGAATTTTGGTTCGATTTTGTAGTTTTAGGGTACTCTAGATTGGACAGATTGCTAATCTATTCGAAGTAGTAAAAATCTGCCCAGAGATTGCAAATATAGCCCCTTTCTGGTTAAAACTGCCATTCTTGATCCTGAAAATGTCAGATATGCATTCCGCATTCTCAATAACCCCCAAAACTATCCTGATCGGCGAGAGCCATTTTGATCAACTATTGTCTGCATAGGATTTATTGCTAATTGTTGCTGATTAACACAACATTTGCTAATTGTGCAAATTGCCCAACATATGCAAGTGAGCACTCGGCAGTTTCTATGTGCTGTGGACATGTGCTATACATTTCTAACGTAAAACTTTGGGGGAACATTTGCGGGTTCACAGTGCTTGCAACTAGACTATATTGTTAGAAAAACAACATAGATTTGTTAATTTTCTCATTAATTTATAATTTATAATGCTGACCAATTAACAGTCTCGTCCTTTTTAAAAGCCCGTTACACAAATGAGATATTTGTATATGTTTAAAATATTCTCTGTGCCAATTTGTTCACAAATTGAAGTTAAGCTTCCATGTTGCCAGCCTTTTTAAATTCACAACCCTTGCTCTAAGTCACCTCTTCTCCAGCTTTATTTTCCTGGCTATAAAAGTTTCCTTTGGTCAAAATTATTCCTTGTTTGTTTATTTACAATATTGTCTCTTTATTTGTAGGCTGCTGAGACACACATTATTCTACAGTCTTTTCAAGACGAGATGCAGCAGCAGAGGACCAAGCACTCAGATCTGGTGAAACCCTACGAGCAGAAGGAGTCTGATTTACGGGAAAATGTGAGTGACGTGTCTGATCTGCAGTCTTTCTAAAGCAGTCCTTCTTTGTCAGTGTTCTTACTGTCAGTTTGAAATTTTACCAACAGATGCCGAGTCTGTCACAGGAACTTGAGAGTGTGCGTGCTGAGAAAGATACTCTCCTGTTTGAGCAGAGTGCTGCTGCTCAGAGTTCTGCAGAGGAGATGGAGAAGCTGCTCTCTGCAGTCACATCTCTCACTGCAGAGAGAGACCAGCTCCAGGGAGACCTTCGGGAAAATGTAGACATGGTGAGTGACTACATTGCTGTTTGATAATAGTCTGTTTGCGAGCTCCAAGAGTCCTATTATGAACCCGGAAATGTTGAGTACCCCAAAGTTTTATGTTAGAAATACAGTGGGGCAAAAAAGTATTTAGTCAGCCACCAATTGTGCAAGTTCTCCCACTTAAAAAGATGAGAGAGGCCTGTAATTTTCATCCTAGGTACACTTCAACTATGAGAGACAAAATGAGAAAAAATAATCGAGAAAATCATTGTCTGATTTTAAAGAATTTATTTGCAAATTATGGTGGAAAGTAAGTATTTGGTGAATAACAAAAGTTCATCTCAATACTTTGATATATATCCTTTGTTGGCAATGACAGAGATCAAATGTTTTCTGTAAGTCTTCACAAGGTTTTCACACACTGTTGCTGGTATTTTGGCCCATTCCTCCATGCAGATCTCCTCTAGAGCAGTGATGTTTTGGGGCTGTCGCTGGGCAACACGGACTTTCAACTCCCTCCAAAGATTTTCTATGGGGTTGAGATCTGGAGACTGGCTAGGCCACTCCAGGACCTTGAAATGCTTCTTACGAAGCCACTCCTTCGTTGCCCGGGCGGTGTGTTTGGGATCATTGTCATGCTGAAAGACCCAGCAGCGTTTCATCTTCAATGCCCTTTCTGATGGAAGGAGGTTGTCACTCAAAATCTCACGATACATGGCCCCATTAATTCTTTCCTTTACATGGATCAGTCGTCCTGGTCCCTTTGCAGAAAAATAGCCCCAAAGCATGATGTTTCCACCCCCATGTTTCACAGTAGGTATGGTGTTCTTTGGATGCAACTCAGCATTCTTTCTTCTCCAAAC